TTGCGCCAGTTCTTGATTGGTTTTGATTTTGACTTGATTTTAATATTTTGCAAGATTTTTTTACGATCTGATTTAAAGTGAGCTTTGTGTGCTAATGACAAACCTGAGAATGGATCAAAGTTACCTAATTGAATTATTCCTATGCTAATTTTGGGTTTTCCTCCTCGAAATAGATCGTAAAATGTTTGCTCTTGTCTTATGGATATTTGCTTTTGTTGCTCCCCATTAATATCAAAATGTGACATCTGAGCGGGGTAAGATATATAACATTTTTGAGCTTAATTTGAACTCTTCTTAGTTTAAATTAATCTTTGCTTTTATTTGTGCGAAGCCTCAATGCCACCGTTTTTATTTTATTTTGCTGGTTTTTAGTTTACCTCTAATTCCTTTCGAAGCTATGTTGTGCTTGTATTTCCTGGCCAGAAACAGAAATATGTGAGCAACGCATTATATTTCGATAAATCACCAGAGATAAACCATCTAACTAGCAGGTGAGGGGCTTAGAAGGTGTTTCGAGGGGTTTCACTATTTAAAATGGTGGGATCTTAATAGAGGAATCATAAAACTTATTTTCGTAAACAATCTATTAACTTTTTATGGACTAATAGTTTCATATTGGGTTTTTTTTCTGAACCTTAACCACTTAAAGTTGCGGCTTATTTTCGTGTGAGCTTAATTTGGTGTCATAATTCAAACAAATGCCTCGCTTATAAATTAATAAATATTTATAGTTTTAATGCCCGGCTTAGGCAAATATTGTCTCAAAACATAAGTCCACATAAGAGGTGGTCAAAGTGTATCTCTAGTGTTTTTCGGGCACTCGAAACGGAAGTAAGAAATCGAATTCAATCCGCGGAGGCAGCTAAGATTTAGTTTGGTGTTGACAGTCAGCGAGACAAAAGTTTATTGATTGATTGCAACAAGGTGAAGGAAATTTGTTTACATTTTTGTCTGATCATGTTCGACCTTGCAAAGTGCTCCACCCTCTAAAGAAGTAAACCCCCCCATCCACGAATTATCTCCCCGATACAAGAGATTTTAATGTTCTCTTGGTATTTGGCAACAATTTTGTATGCAAATGATTTATTTATATGTTAACAGCTGCTACTACAACCTCTACCTTGACCAAACAAGTTCTTGGTGTCTGATATCATTGATAAGATGGCCAAGCGGATTAGGTTTCTGCCCAAATGCCTAAGACAATTGTTAGCCGTCACTCCAGCAGACCCGGTCGTCATTTGTCTTGGCATTATTTCAAATCTTAATTGGCCGCGAATTCTTCTTCACTCTGGTGAATTTCTCACGTATTGTTCGATGACCAGTGCTGCGATCAGGGGCGGATTAAAGGTATCGTTTGGGCGCCATTTTTATGAATTCTCCAATAACAATATTTAAATAAAATAATTAATAAATGTTTTAGGCCATTAAGTTTTTTACATTTATAGGTAAATCAACCAGTTTTGGAAGAGAAACATATTCAAAAAAATGTTTTTAAAAAATAATTATATGGATGTTTAAACAAATAAGTTATTTTATTGAAATAATTCATTCTTTAAGTATGAACAAATAACGTTTAATCTAAAACCGTAATCAAACCCATGATTACCATGATTAAACGTATTATAATTTAAAAAAAACTATAGTTAATATATAATCTTATAGAACCTGACCTTTAAAATCCGCTACTGTATCCGTAGAAAATCACATCATAGGCCTGGTATTCTTTTGATTACTACAAATTTGACTAATGCATTTTTAATGAAACGCCTTGAATGACATCATGCGAAATTGGTTCGTCTAGAAACAAGAAACTACCAGAATTTCCAGCAGAAACTAGCGGGGCGAATCGTCATTTCCTAAATATATTTAAAGAGTGGCTGCTCTTGAGAAATTCCAAAAGGAATTTCATGAAATAATTACAAAATGATTCTGAAGTCTCTCAGCTTAATTCCCAGCTGCCTTTAAACTTTGCGAAAATTGCAAGCGGATGTAAATGTATCTTCGCCTTTGCATCTGTGATGCATCCGTGAGTACGTTTTGCCTTTCACTTTAGGCTGCCCTGAAAAAATGGGCTCCTTTCAACGGCAGGCTGACATTAAAGGATTACAGGGGCGTTCTTTTTTTGTAATCGAAAAAATGGAAGTCCAGAGAAGAACCCCCGAGAAGGGGAGATCAGGATTTCATAGTTGATTTATTTTTGAGACCGAGATGGCACAAGGGCAACATGGCAAGAGTCATTCAACTTCGGTTACATAAGCATCGATGCGTGCGGCAGCGTGAAGAAGGAAGCAGCTGTTGGTAATGGGGATGGGTATGGGTTTGGGTATGGGATGCACGTTAATATCAGATATGTGAAGGTCGTCATCATCATCGAATGCAACATGCAACATGGCCAGGGATCAAGGGACTTGCCCTGCGCACCCATGACTCATTGGCTGTAGAGCAAAGCCATTCAACTGAACGATTTATGGTAACGATTCTCCATCTCGACATATCATCTCATCGACTTGAGTCGACTGAGGCGTTGACTTTTGGTATTTTGTCAAATGGGTTTTTTTTTGTAGGCTTTCTAAATTTGGTGCTCAGCGTATGTACATTATTCTGTCTACCACAAAAATGTTGGCCATTGCGTGGCTCACTCGCCTCGGATTCTTTTATTCGCATGAAATATTGATCTTGGTTTAAAGTTGCTCATTTCTAGTGCCTGTTTTCATATCTAACTTGACTTGGGCTTGTTAAAAACGTATATTTCTATTTATAATTTGGTTTTCTTGATAGTTTCGCAGGCTTATGAATTTGATTAACAAAAATTTAACTTGTTTTGCGACTGATGATAGCTAAAAGTTTTTCGTTTTTGGGGTTTTGTTCTCGCAAAGGTCGTTGCCAAATAAAAAAAAAGAAACTCATGTATTGTGTGACTCGTTGTGGTCATAAAAATTAAATTTTGTGTGGGCTAAAAGTTCGCAAAAAAGGTACATATATATATATATTTATTTAAATTCCACAGAGCTCAAATTTTGATTAAGCCCAATTTAAATATGTAAAATTTCATTGTGCCTTTTCACTGCCTTTAAATTGCTTTTCCCACTTGCTGTTTCTCGACTTATCTCGAAATTATGTTTAATAATTTTACTGTCAATGAAACTCTGTCAAAAATGCATTTACATATGAAATAAAATTAAAGCAAAACAAAAGCCTCGTGTTTTAAACGCTTCATTTTGTTTTTCCTTTTTTTTCGGTCAACTTAAAGCTGCGAAAAGTAAGGCAAAAAATTTTAAAAATGCTTTGAGAATGTCGAAGGCTTGGGAGGATAAAGATATACCCCGATTACTAAGCGATGTCAAGGTTATTATTTCTGGCCGGTAATGTAAAAGGAATTTTGAGAATGCATTTAAGTTTTTGACTCTTTTTTTTTGTTAGTCGAGGGAATTAAGTTTTATTATGCATCCTTGCTTAATATTGCCGTTGGCACATTGTTTAAAATTTATATTTTTTAATTTTTCACTAAGCCCACGTAGACATATTTTATAAAAAAGCCACCAGCTGCGTTGGACGGTTGCATGCTGGGCCAATCTTCGATTTCATTTAAGTACCCTTTTTTAAGAAGGGTATATTAAATTTGTTAATTTAGATATTTTTTAAATATTTGTATTAAAGGTTACTAATGGAAAATTGTACTAATAAATACGAACATTTAAATATAAGTTGATTTTCGTATTTTTAGAACATATTTAAGTGTATTTGTCTTTCGCTTTCTATGTGTTGACTTCCACTTCCCTTACTTGTTTTGGGTTTTATAGTCGAAAATACTTATACATTGTCTTAAGTCGGTGGGTTTTGCCCTTGACTTAAGCATTGCCATTAAATTCATCCTGTTTAATGTCCAAGAGCGAAGAAGCTGATTATTTTCTGTGTCAATTGCTGCATTCAAGAGCAAGCCAAGTTTTCGTATTTAGCTGAAATTGTTTCCCCTTTTCTGGCTGTCCAGCGTTTTAATCCGTAAAAATTTGCTTTAAATGTCAGCAACTCTTAAAAAATAAATGCAAAAAAAACAAATTGAGAAACATTCTACTAAGCGGATCATCAAACGGAAGCGTTTCGCAACTAAATGAAAAGGTGTCTGAATTATGGCAAATGGATTGGTAATCCAATCTGACATTGGGTTCGTGATCTCAGAGATTAATTTCTTGGCTACTGTGTGAGTTCATTTCAAGATTTAGAAATATTTATCTATCTATACACTGGCTCATTTGTGATCAATGGCTGCAAAGTTATTTTAATTATGCCCCTTGCATACACAGGAAGAAAAATGAGTATATACGGAAATCATGCCTGGTTTTTTGCAGAGCTTTAATCAAATCAATAAACCATCTAAATAATATTTAGCAATATATAATACCTCAACGGCGGGAGCCAGAAGAGAAACAACATTCTATCTATGTATAGCTAAGATATCACTCTTCGATTAACGATAAAATTAAATCAAAATAAACACGAAAAACTCGAATTTTCAATTAAAGACAAAAAGCGTTCTTTGAACAAACAAAAACGCAAGACAATAAAACATAAAAGAGAATAAATAAATTAAATATTAATGAACCCCCAAGAACCTGAAAGTGAACTTAAATTCTTCAGACACGCAAGCAGAGGATCCTAGAGATTTTCGAGCGGGAGAATCAAAAACAAAAACCAATCGAATCGATTCAAAGAGAGTGATCAATATATCACGTATACGACCCGGGTCTCCGAGTTGGCTTAGTTCGAGCTCATCTCTCCGGCGCTTGGCCAAATAAATTAACGAATCCGGCGAAAAAAAAAGCAAACTCGTTCCACTCACACACTCACGCACTTTGAGCCAGGTCTCTGTGTTGGTTAGGAGCTGCTCTCAAGTACGATTTTTAGTCTTTTTGTGTCGAGTTTGCTTTTTTTTCGCCTTTTTGTCTCGCGTCTGCCTCTGTTTATATGGCTAAGACCCGATGCGTTCATCTTCAGTTCGTCCACATCGGTCACCACGGTATGAGCTCTAGTTTAGGCTCCTAAAAGTAAATACTAAAATAATATCTTATCCCAAAACTTGTGATCCATGGCAATCCCAAGCCAACTCAAGCGAACTGTACTAATTGCAAGGATAAACAAGATGGAATATTTGCAAAATTCCCATCTTAAATAGTGTGAAACTGTGTGCCTGCCTGCCTTCGCTCAAATTCTAAAACTAAAATAAACATTTTCTTCTTTTTCAAGATTGGAAAAGGGATAACTGAGTTTATTCCATTGAGAAAATTCAAAATACCTAAATATTTACTGGCGTTTCTTGTGTCAAATAAAATTCGTAAAATTCGTTGCAAAATGGCGCGTGCAGCTCTTTGCATGGTAAGTTGATAGTATAATAAAAATCAAACTATTCTTAAAAATGAAAAGATTGTTAAAAATATATAAAAATATTCTTTGTCGGCAAAAAACATAAGAATCATTAAAATTTTATTGGCCTCAAAACCTTTGAAATGTATATTTTATATTCAGCTTGGATTATTTAAAATTGATTTCTTCAGCTGACCTCCGACTGGCAATTTAAATGGTTTTTCATTTCTTCTATTTTGTAATAACATTTAGCAGTTGGCTAAAAATATTGTCAAACATGGTATACAAATAAATACGTGAGAGAAGAAACGTCTACTTCGTTTGATCGCAAACAAATATTGAATGCATGGCAACCAAAATTGAAGGCTTTGGGCTAAAAATAAAAACTGCATAAGAATATTTGTAGAGCTCATAGGCGATATTTAAGACGGAATTCCTCACTTAACAAGCGTTAACAAGTCCGGGTCAAATTATAATTATTTCGTTCGGTTTATTTGCCAAAGTTTGGGCTCGAAGCCAAGTCAGTAGGGTGAGCGGTGGGTAATAATAATAATAATAGACAACCGGCATTTTTCTGGGCAAACAAATACAAATACCGGCAATTTCGTAACTATCCGATGCAAACGCAGCCATATTCTGTTTGTTTTACCGCACAACGCAAAAGCAAAAGTATTGCCCAGTTTTTTATTTGACTGGAATTTTTTTCGACCTACTCACTCTGTGCTGGCTTTTATTGTTGTCATTTCAAATCGAATCGATATTCGTAAAATGTGTTGTTTTTAGTCAAAGGTAGAAGACGAGTCAACGTACAAAAATGTGGCAGCAGGAAAAAAGGTTGTTTACCAAAAATATCAAATATCTGGGGGTATTTAACTAAGATTTCGTGAGGGAGAGAGTTAAATTTAAATGATTGCGGACTTTGTTATTGTCTGCATTATGCAAATTCGATTTTTGTATCATTTGTCACGTTCTTTTTTTTTTGCCCAAGGGAGTCATATATTATATGTGTGAAAGTTAAGAGTTAAATTAAATCGTGAGTCAAGGACTCGCTTCATTAGGAAAGACCATCACATAAGAGTGCTAATTCGATTATGGCCAAAGAATTCTTAGATGATTTCTTAGATAATACTCATCCAAAGCTGTTAATTGTTTTTTAAGCTTGTGACTGCTTCTCTTTTTTTTTTGGCCTGCGGTTTTATGAACACTCAAATTCCCCCAAGGTGCCGTAATGATGCTCTAAGTGAGCTGCGATACTATCTCGATTTGGGATAGAAAAAATGGTTTCAGTCTGGCGCTCTGTCACCTGCCAAAACGACCCCATCTTCGTTGGTCTTTTGGGGTTAAGCTTTTGGGACTCGGAATTTATTACCGTGGCCTGCGGCTTAAGCCTCTGTTTTGGGCCAAGATATTTCAGCCAGACACGTACTGGGCAAACAAACAGAGCCAGCAAAACCACAAAAAAAGGAGGAAAAAAAAGAAGTCGGGGGCGAAAAATATTGTTAATGCCCAACGGCAAACTGTTGACAGGGCATCTCATCTTGGTCCACAGTACTTTTTATTATAAATTTGTTCTCAACTCTGGTTGTGCTGAATTTTAAAGAGTCCGCGGAATTTTCTTCCACACTTTTTGTATGTACTGCAATTTGAGGAGATTTAATCACTCAGTAGGCAAGTTGAGTCATAAAATGGAGTAGAAAAAGTCGAGTTTGGCATGACAAACAGTTGGCTGCTGGCTTATAGGCAATTGAAATAAATTACGGCATTTATTTGGTTGTAAAATAGAGCGTTAAGCATGTCAAACGAATAGTAAAAACTTTACAGTTACAAAGGAAAAAGGAAAAATTTAAATAAAACATGAAAGAATTTAGTAGGAAAATGGGAGGAATTCAGGGCTGAAATTGTGGGCTTTAAGAATATTAAAGAAATTACATTCCATAAATTCCTTTCCTAGGAAGCAAAAAATTTGTGTGCCAAGGCTGTAGGGGCCCAAGGAAAATACCAGTTAATGAACTTTACCTTCGAGCTGTGCAATATTCTACCAAGAACAACCTTACGTAAGAGTTCAGGGAACTTTATCGACTCCCATTCACTTTTATGGCTCATCAGTTTTACTATTTCCTTCGCTCCCCTCGTGACTTTCGATATTTAAAGGCCCAAAAGGTCTGGTTTTTTGTCTCCCATTAATTTATGGACCTCCTTTGTTGGCATATGTCTATGGCCAATTTTAATATGGAATCTATATAAAGGGGAAGAGAGATGTGTGTATCTAAAATTCAAAATCTAGAAATGCAAATTTGGTCTTGATCGCCAGTCGGCGATTAGCAGAGACAATCGCCAAAGGCGGCAGCTATGGCGATTTATATATATATGGTAACGATGATAGAGGAAGTCTTCGGGTTTGGTTTAAGTAAAAACGAAAACGTTATACAAAAAGTATTTATTAAGCTGCCAGCCAAATGCCAAAAGTTGAAAGTAAAAGTTTTTTTTTTCTTAAATAGTATGATGTCATTCGGGATGTTCGAGTATTCGAGCGTACCAAGCCCAACGGTTTATTTTTTAATTGCTTTAATAAATCAGAACAAGTCCAGTGGAAGTTCACTGACAGCCATTCAAAGTTAATGAGATACATTTGTGTGGACAAATTCACAGCTTTGTCTGAGATCAACCTGGCTAATTTCATTTGTCTATCCATCGATGGGGACTGAAACTCATTAGCACTGTTCTGCTCTCAAAGAATTCTAGAAGCGGCGCTAATTAAATTCGAGTCTGGATTAACTGGAAAATCCGAACCGAAAAGGCCATCGCCCACAGCTGGTTATACCCGTTCCCCCGAAATTTTATCATACGAATCAACATTGATTTTGTCTTATCCAGGTTCTAATAACTCTTTTGTTACTGGGTGCGACTTGCCGGGTAGGCTCATGAATGTTTGTTAGGCATTTTTATAGCCCTCTTTCTTATCTCCTCCTCTATGCAAATGTTTGGCTGGGAGTATACGCTTTACGTGTTGAAACACACATTTCAAAATTGCCCAACAATGTTTTCGTTGAAGAGAAATTTCACAATTCCCTGCAGACCCAAAACTGCATCCCAAAAAAAAAAAACAAGCAAGATGTCATCGATTAAGGTCGCCGTCCCGCAGTCAGTTGCATTTTAAATTCGATTTTTAAGTTTATAAAAAAAGAAAACATAAACATACAGATTTTCTTGTTCAATTCATTGGCCGCCGGCAAAAGATCGACCTTGAAAAGTATAAATACTTACACGAAAAAAAAGTTTCGCTCCAACCGCCAAAGGGCAAAAGCAGTCAAGATACTTCAGCGAAAAGTGTTGGGATGACTAAACCGGTTACTTTTCGGCTGACGATGATCAAGATGCTCATGATGATCATGATGATGATGATGAAAACCAAGATGTACACGAAATCATGTTAACAACAACAGAAACAAGCGACTTATGCGTGCGAAGAAGTCGATTAATAAAATAAAAATTGTCGACGGTGAGTTATGCAAAACTCTTCAAGATTCATTGGCTCATTGTGCATACAAGTAGTACCCATAGAACGCTTTGGTTCTCAAGGCGTTGGCTATGGCTATATGCGTTTTTTGGGTCACAACGTCAGTTGCCACTCGGTTTTTTCTTCTTTTTTTTTGCATGATCTATGCGACTTGGAATTGATTTACTGCATTCGCAACGCGAAACTCGCCTCTTCGCACTTCTTTTATGATCGACGCGACGTCTGTATACATAAATTTTGGCCCACATTCGTTGGTTGTTTTCAGAGTTTAATTGATTGGCAATTGATGTGCGGCTTTGTGCGGCGATCAGCAGCTGAAAAGCGGGCTTGGCTGCCCCTTCACTCAATTTGAGAGCCTAATTACCAGTAACAAATGAATTGGTCAGATCTTGGGCTATCCCAGTAATGATATAAGGGTAAAGTTTAGGGGGCGTTGTAGAAAAGAGATTGGTCAATCTTTAAAATAGGTATAACTATAATTAAGAAACCATTCCAACCCTTTCTGGTCAACATATGGTTTCCCCTTAACCCAAGTTCTTTATCCACTTACTTAATTGACAATTCCATATCTCCTTTCCCCACTTTACCAACCCAAAACAAACCACATCAATCAATCCATCACTTTTCCGTCATGTCATCGAAAACAGTTTTCCTTGACTTTAACTAGAGGAAATACTTGCTCAATATGTTAGTTTCCCATGAGTGAAAGACCAAGTTGCAAACGTAATCAACTTCCATAATAAGTTGAAAATCAATAAGGACCGTTAATAATGAAAAACTTTTGTAATATTTAACCACCAGTTTTTCCATAGCAGACACGCAATGCGGAATTCCAGAAGAAATGATGGGGAAAGGGGAAAAAACAAATTTTTTATTTATGAAAAACTTGGCCTGAGGCTACGGCTATGTGGGTGAGAAGGAAACGACCTCTGTTGTCAGCAGCTGCTAGATATCATGGCATAATAAATTAAAAATAAAAATGTATTTTTTATGGACTCCGAAATTTGGATATCCATAATTTCTGTATTGTTGATCAGTGGTGGAGATTTTGGAGCAGGCGATTTGGCAACAATTTAAACTTGAAGATATGCCAATCAAAAGACAGTTATCCATCGAGCCACCGATTTGCATTAATGAGATTTTATATTTTTGTGCGTTTTTGCCTTTTGGAATCTGAATCTCAATCTCGAACCGTTTGATGGCCACGATAGGTAAATAAATTTGTTTTATGAGAAATTCATTTGTTTTGTCGCCGCTTTTTTTTTTTCTTTTTTGGTTTCCTTCACATGGTTTGGTTTCTACTTTGTTTGCACCCACAAAGACTCAAAATTATTGACCTTATCGCAGCCATTGATAGATGGAATCTATGGCGGGTGTTAACCATAAAATGCCATTGTTTCGCCTTTAATTACTGCAATCCCTCTTTAACCTTAAGAAAAACACACCCTAGACGAAGAGATGGAGGCTCAATTTGGCTACGAACGAATCTATCAAATTTTAAAACCGAATTGATTGCTTAGCATAAAACGAAGGTCATTTTCCGCACCTGATTGTTTTCGTTTTTGGCTACGAACTTAGCGACATATTTAAGAATTATGACTCGACTAATGAATTCTACATTTGGATGGGGTTAAATGAGTTTCGTAAAAGAACTCGTTTATATAAGGAAGTCTTGGCAATGCCGGAACTTAGCTTGATTTTGTTAATTCTATGGGCATTTTATGCAAATCGACCGAACGAAACAATTTCGTAATCTCAGGCATTCAGGCAGAGATCTTCGGCGCCAAAACAAAAAGATGATCCAACGATTATGTGGGACAGTTGAGAGCTGAAACCTGATGCCAAATGGTAATCGATTTGCTGCTGCCACTCAGAATGCCAGCAAGTGCATTTAGAACTAAGCTAATTGTCCATTACTGTCAGTGGAAGCCAACTAGTTTTTCAGTCTTCTGACGCCACATCTGACTGTGACAAATCTTGGGAAATTAGCATGTTATGCGAAATCGAAATCCAGTTCCAGTTTGCTAAAAAAAAAAGTCCGTCAACATTTGACGAGTGAGCCAAGAATGCGTTGTGATTTGATTATTATGCCTTTGACATTTTGCCAGCCAAATCGGTGAACGGTTTTATTTTGGTTTTTTACTTTTCGCTTTGGTTTCGAATCGAACCGGATCTAAATGGCTGATGATTTGTCCGTCGGCCTGTTGGAGATACAAATAACCAAAAACGAGCTCACACATTTGACTCATCTCTGTACGAAGTATGCAAATTTAGCCAAGCCAAGAAAAAACTTAAATCTTTGAGATACTATAGTAGCTCGCCGTGTGGGGGCGTGCCTTGAATGTGACAAATCTTTTGACAATTGTAATTTCTTGGGGTTTTTCGCTAGACAGTTTCATTAATCATACGCCTTCGTTTGTTTTCTTACTATTTATTCCAGGCCGTCGCTTGCATCTTGATGCAATGCGTCTACTCTGCAAAGTTCGATGAACAGAATCGTCGTCTTATTCTCGATATTGACGACCAAAAGACAACGAACCGTCAATACTATTCGTCAAACATTGACACAAGTAAGTGAACCCGTTTAACAATTTTACTATCCGTGTCTATCTAAGCTGCTTTAATCCATACAAAAAACAAAAAAAAAAAGAAAACATCCAAAAAGTAAAACTAGAACAATCCCAATCCATTAACTATGTAAAAATCCAGTCGAATTTTGTACTGTCCATCCATTTTTTATATGACCCATCCATGCAGTTAGTTAGTCTTTGTTTTTGTTATTTATATACCATTTAAGTAGTTAAATTGACCAACAAATTGTTATCGTAGTTGTTAGTAGTACCTTAGTCGTAAGTATTTGTATTACCACCCCTTCCACCCCTTTTGTTAGTTCAACCAACTTACATTAATTAATCTATACCCCAAAATCGAAACAACAACAACCAATTGTAGTACCCTTCTATATATATTCATTTATATATACCTCCGTAGCAGCTTTACTAAACTCACCCAGTAGAACTCGTAGTATGCGTCGTAGCTATACTCAAATTGTAAATATATACACGCTCAACAATCAATCAACCATTTACCTATACCTCTCTCTCTCTCTCTCTCTCTTATCCTATGCTACTTTCTCCTTCTCTTACATATAAATATACACTTCTTTCAACAGTTTTATGTAGGCATTTGTTCTTCAGTGGCCAAAAGTTCTACATGAAACCTCTTTAAAAATGCTTCGCATACTCATAACTCTACCTCACCACCTCAAAATTGATTACTCCAACCAAAAACCAGAAAAAAAGATTAAAAAAAAACCAAACCAACAACAGCACACAACAAACACCAACATTTTCTTAAAAACAACTTCATCTGATTAGGTTCTTTGTGAAACTTTCAGTTACAGCGCCCTTTAGATGATGTTAGGTCACAGTCAGAGTTAGTCGAGAGTCTTAGGGTTATATAAACACACCATTTACAGGTTTTCACAGCACTACAATAAAAATATACAAAACAAAACACCCAACAAAAACGTTATACTCAAAACATTACTCTTCCAAACCAAACAAACAAAACCCCACCAAAACCAAAAAACCCAACCAAATCGACACGAACACGATCATCCAAAAGATGCCTATCGATATGGCTACGATGTCGGCAAGACCGGCAACTTCCATCACGAGACCCGTGGTCCCGATGGGGTTACCTACGGCTGCTACGGCCTGATCGATCCCTATCACCTGCTCCGGGCAACACACTATGTGGCCGATGCCCATGGTTACCGCACTGTGGAGCCGGAGAAGCCGGTGGAGACCTTCCCACCTCATCTGTTCAACGAGACCGACGGCAAACCCTCGCTGCCGGGCATCCTGCTGCAGTGGGAGGAACTGTACTTCCCAATTGGATGTGGAAAGTTTGCGAATGGCGCCCAACACGGGGTCCCATTCTTCCTCGAAGACGTAAGGGTTTCAGGGGTACTCCCTGCGAAGTTACTGGTCAATTTCTAGAATTATAATCATTATAATGTATTATAAGATATTTTATAATATAATTCTAAAAAAATGACCAGTAACCCCTTCAGGGAGCACCCTTCTTACCCGTCATACATATTTTCCAGTTCAAAAACAAGGCCGGTAGCAACGATGCGATACCATCGTTCTCGGCCAACACAATTGTGATCAAGGGCTCCGACCAGAAGAGTCTGCCCATCCACAAGCCCACCGGTCCGCTGGTGCCCCAGGGTACGGGGATCTTTGGCACGGACAAGGGTCATTCGGATCTCAGCCATCCCGGCGATCAGGCGCCGTCCTTCCATTCGGTGAACACCCTGCTACCGGGCAGCAATAGTGAGCAATGAGCTATAAGCGGTATCTATGGATCGGGAACTGCAAAGTTTGTGTCCTTTTAGATGATGGCCAGTACGTGCCTGATAGTAATCCCTATGTGCATGTGATTGGACCCAATGGAGGAAATGGAGGCAATGGAGGCAGCGGCTCTGGCGGCGGTTTCGGTGGAAATGGAGGATTTGGAGGCGCTGGCGGTTTCGGACCCAACGGGCCAGGCGGTCCCAACGGGCCAGGTGGTCCCAATGGACCCAATGGACCCAAGGGACCAAATGGACCGAACGGACCTCCGGGACCACCCGGCGGTTTGGGTCCGGTCGGCGCGGGAGGAGGAGCCTCAGGAAAACCGGTCTATCAGGATGGCGATCGCACTGGCACAGGCAGCGGTTCCGGAATTGGTTCCGGTGATCGTTACACAACCGGTGATCGTTATACAACCGGAAACGGTGGCGGTGTCGGTTCCGGCGATCGTTACTCAACCGGAAACGGTGGCGGCGTCGGTTCCGGCGATCGCTACTCAACCGGAAACGGTGGCGGTGTCGGTTCCGGCGATCGTTACTCAACCGGAAACGGTGGCGGTGTCGGTTCCGGTGATCGTTACACCACCGGAAACGGTGGCGGTGTCGGTTCCGGTGATCGTTACACCACCGGAAACGGTGGTGGTGTCGGTTCCGGTGATCGTTACACCACCGGAAATGGTGGTCGCTATACCACCGGAAACGGTGGCGGCGTCGGTGGCGATCGCACCGGAACCGGAAGCGGTTTCGGAATCAGTGCCGGTCAGTATCGTCCGGATAACGAGGGAACCTACACAAGCACCTACACGCAGACAGAGACCGGTTTTCCTGGGGCCATTCCATATCATCCAGGTTAGCCCTCCAACGATTTCTCTACGCTTGGAGAGCAAAATTTGAACGAGCTGCGGATGTGGAGCGGATTATTAAGTAGCCTCAAACAAGATATTACTCAATTCCCAATACAAAACATCGAAATGTGCCTCATACCCTAATGCGCGATCAGTTCGTTCAAATTTCTCTCTTCAAGGCTTCTAGTTCGTAAGATAGCAATCTTAAACGTATGTCTATTTTACAATAATTCTTACTTAAACTTTAAACTATTTTAAGGACTTTTCGTTTATTTTCAGCCAAGAAACACCCAATTTTTAATACTTTTACTTTGCAATTTCCCCAAAAAGAACACACACACACATTTATAAGTCAGGCAAAATGCTAGGGCACGTTTTTTGATTTTTAGTTATCCTTTATCAGAGCACCCAATCCCAAGAGCGCACAATCCCAATCTATATATATATATATATTCCTATCACTTTCTATCCCTATTGCACCAAAAAAAGTTATTGAATGAAAAGAAAAAAGAGAAAACCAATTTGATCACGAAATCTGTTTCTCAGCATGTTCATTTGGCTGAGATCCAATCACAGTTATATCACCCATGCTTGCACCGATTCTTCACTTCAACACCCACCCACACACACACAATTACACCCACACACAGATACACCCACACAAGTACACACATTTATTGTAAAATAATTACACGGCACATGAAAAAAGAAAAAAAAACCCTGCTTGAGCAATGACTATTAATCAACTCTATAACTGCAACTAACAATTAATACCTATGACTTACTATAATTTGGATTTCGGCATTCCTCCTGATCCCCTAACTACACCCATAGTTTATTACTAATTCCATTCTACTTGTTTGCTTTGTTGTTATGATACTTGTTTTATTTTTTGGTGACGGCCTAGATCGTTTAGCATGTAACTTTTGAATGTATTCTAATGTTATGTAATTATGTAGATTAGGATTAGAAAACCCATTGTTGTAGTTAATATATTGTTTAAATTGTAGTTATTAGTAACTGTAGTTAAATCGTGAGCATGTAGAAAGTACACTTTTTACTGCACAGTTTCTAATCGAACGATTTCTATGATCTTAAAATCTACCCTCTAGATAACGGTAAATATAACGACAACAGCGGACGCTATAACGGTGAGTTTATATAGAAGAGTTATTTATGAACCATAGTTACTCATATTTTACGATTTGGTTCACAGGTATTAACGATGGTCGGTATTATCACGATGATTCGGGCAAATATGTTCACGTTGAAGGCCCCACTGGACCACCGGCACCCCCATATGTCCATATTGTTGGACCCGAAGGCGGATACGGCGGCAATGGCGGCAACGGCGGCAAAGGAGACGGCGGCGGCGTAGGCCCCGGCGGCCCAGGCGGACCTAAGGGACCTGGCGGTAGAATCCTTGCTAGATATATAAACTAAAAACATTTTTATTATAATTTTAAAACCGCTTCTCAGGCCCCAAGGGACCCAATGGACCTAACGGACCTCCCGGTCCTCCCGGCCCACCCGGACCACCTGGTAAGTTTTTGGAGAACTGTTTGTGAAAACTAATAGAATTAACAACCTGTATCCTAATCTTCTAGGACCTCCCGGACCCAAGGGACCTACTAAGCCCGGACCTTTCGGACCTCCGGGACCACCCGGTAAGTTAAAAACGAAGTTTCTTAATAATCATGTTTACTTACTTTATGACAAATATTTCAGGCCCACCTGGACCAACCCGTCCTGGACCTTATGGACCTCCCGGCCCACCCGGCCCCACTCGTCCCGGACCCCCCGGCCCACCCGGTCCCACTCGTCCCGGACCTCCCGGACCACCCGGCCCCACTCGTCCCGGCCCACCAGGTAAGACACGTAAAAGGCATTTTCCATAAGCCGATACTAAAAAGAAAACCGGAAATTTCAGGACCTTCTCCCAACGATCCCCGTTACTCGGACAAGGAAACGCCCGGCTACCTGCCACCTCAGCAACCGGGTAAAATCTCCAAACCACCTCCATCCTACTCACAAGTCATTGAAATTGAACCACCAAAATCAGTTTTTAAGCCGAATTACGAACAAAACAATGATTATGTTATTAAGAAAGTAACCGTAACGACAAAGCCACCACTAACCTATATTCCACCTTCTTTCCCAATCACTCCGAAACCCTATGCTCCCGTTCCCGCTCCTGTTCCTCAACCTCAACCACAACCGCCATCCCAAAAAATAACGACGACGATCGTACAGCCAAAGCCAAAGGTCCCGGCTATCATTATTGAGAAGGATAAGCCACATAAGAGCGTTACGACACCGCCAGTGACAACGGGTAATATTGAAAACCACACTTACCTACCACCACCACCACCGACTCCGAAATACGTGACCCCGACTCCGACTCCAAAACAGACTCCCATTCCGATTCGTTATGAACCCTCGACACCAAGACCTTTCGAAAAGGTGGTGATTACCTCACCGCCACAAATCCAATACCATACGCCACAGGTCCCCGCCGTGGTTATTCCCAAACAACCCGTGACTGTTCCGTACAAACCCGTGACACGACCTCCACCCGCTTACGTTGAACCCAAAGTAACGCCACGTCCCTCTCCCCCATTGCATGTGCCATCGATATCGATCAGCGATCAGTCCTGTGTTTGTAACGCCGATAAGACGCACTCATCGAAAAGCACCCTTACCTCAACCACAAGCACCACCACCACCACGAACTCCTATCCCAATCCCGCCTCCGTTGACTTTAACAAACAATTTTCCGGCTTCAATGGACAAGCAAACTTCGGCAGCATAATAAACGCCATGTCACTGACCCAATTGCCGGTGATACCTCAGGCCCCTGGCCAGCCGGCCTTCTATCCGCCAGATAAGATCCCCAAGGGAGCTATTATCGCACTAATGCCCGTGGTGATCCTGCCGCAGGAGTACTATTCCAATTGTGATGAGAATTCGATAAACCAACACTCGAACATCGATCCCTTCCCACTGGGCGTTCAACCAGGTACATCCTTTAGCCTTCATTCGGTGCTGACGGGTTCGGCGCCCAAGGATCAATGCATGTGCCCATGCTCATGCACCCAGAATCTGCCGGGAAGATTACACAAGAAACGTGAAGCCAGCGATGCTGAGGCTCCAGTGGAGGTTAAGCCCGAAGCTGCTGCTGCCTCCGAGGTGGTGAAAACCCTGGTCGATCCCATTCCAGCCGCCTCGGAAGAGGTCAAGGTTAAGGTCGAACCTGTGGCCGCAGCCCCCGAGGTGGAACCCAAGCCCGCAGCCTCCGAAGAGGTCAAAGTACAGGCCGAACCCTTTCCAGCAGCCTCCGAAGAGGCCAAGGTAAAGGTGGAAGCCGTTCCAGCAGCCTCTGAAGAGATCAAATCAAAGGTTGAACCCGTTCCAGCAGCCTCCGAAGAGGTGAAAGTAAAGGTTGAACCCCAAGCAGAGAAAATCCTGGCTGACCCAAAACCAGAAATCAAGGCGACTAGCGAAACGAACTAAGACAAGGACATGAGAGAAGACAACCCCAAAATTCCCCAACCCAGATCCCCGCTTAATCCCATCCTAACCTCAATCCTTCCTCTCCCAAGAACCAGAGAAAAAAAAACCTAACCTAGTCTAAGTGTTTTTAGTGTCTGCCAGGCAGGGCCAATCAGCATTTAAGAAGGGTAAATCGAATGGAGAGCCCAGCTAATGTGTTCGCTTTCTTGTGTTATCTATATGTAATTCGAATTCGATAATATTGTTTTCCCACACTTTTGATAAATGCACTCCAGACCGCCTGTCCACGACGAGTTTCGGAGCTCTCTGATGTAACATCTCCTTAAAACACTATTTGTAATCTAAAATACTTCCTCTAAGAGAGAGCACTGAGAATTGGCAAGAGATGAAAAGAAAAGCGAAAATTGTTTTGTGACATGTTGTTTATTATGCATTTGTGTATGCTTTTTATTTTTTTATGATTTTGTTCAGTTTTATTTCTTTATGATTTTATATCAACTTTAGTTCTTAGTTTATTTAATGTCTACTCTAATAATGATTGAGACGGAATAATGAATTGTTATGTCAAAAGAGAAATATTGAAATTAAATAAAAATTAAGAAAAAATGCATCACGGCTTTATTTATTTATTTAGCGGAAAATTGGCTTACCTTGGGCGCATGGAATGCTTCGATTGAATTAATGTGGAAAATAAAGCACTGGGAAAATTGTATAGTTATGTCAAAAGAGAAATATTGAATTAAAAGAAACTTAAGAAAAAATGCATCACGGCTTTATTTATTTATTTTGCGGAAAATTGGCATACCTTGTGCGCCTGTTATGCTTCGATTGGATTAATTTAGAGAATAAAGCACTGGGAAAATTGGCCAATTATTTATTTTGGGTAAGTGAGGGTCAAGTCTCCTTGTGATACCTTAGACGAGGCCCAAGGACTGACCTACATATTTGTCCACGAGCTGTTAAATATAGAAAAATGTACACATGCTGCCATGGACAAATTGACTTTTGTTACAGATTTGATGCCACTTTGTAGCCAGGTTCCGAAAAATGTATACATTTACCTCAGTTCCATTTGAAATGAAAGCCACGAATATGAAATACCTACGGCGCAAAATATGTTGCATACCTAAAAGGCGTATGGTTAGTTTTAAAAAGTACAACCTATAGAAAGATGGTTGTTATTCATTGGCGCCACTAAATAACTTTGGGTATCTACAGTACTGTTTCACAGTTATGCCTAAAAGTATACCGACATAACCTCTTATTTAGTACTTTGCTCTCGTTTCTGATTTGGCTTTAAAATTACAAAGATTCTCCGATTGCATTGGCTTTATATCATATCTATGGTATATATTAGATTAACATAATTAAGAAGAAATAATTTTAATAATCTATTATATTCTTTTTTCAAAATAATTAAATTATAATATGAATATATATATGCTTTTTATTTAATTAATCATAAAAGACCTTTTGTAATGTATTTTGAAACGAATTTGTATCCTGTTTTTAAAGATATAGTATCTTAAAAAAATCCTTTTGAAGTCTGATCAAAACCTAATTTAAATTTATTGCTTTAAAAGCACGCCTAGCAAGGCTCTTAGACCCCAATCTGGTTTTCATCAAGATTAATGCTCCGTCTAAACAAGTTCAAGGATCCAATTTGAAATCTTGAAAATAAAAATGAAAATGTAAAATAAGTGAAAATAATGCTCATTATGACTGGTGTATGCCGCAATCATCGACGCTTTACACCAACTAAGAGGTATTAAGAGGGTATATATGACTTGGACATTATTGTAAAATATTTTCTGGGTCATTCATAATAAAAGTTCTCAGGTTATAAGGTCAAATTTTCCAGGGTTCAGCAAAGTCGACTCCTGCTAATTAGATTTATCTGTCGCTCAAGTTGCGTAAATGGCTGTTGGCAAAAATATCTGCCAAAGAAATTTCCCGTTTGCAAATATGTAGGTATAAGGCTCTTTTCTTCTTCGATTTGGAGTGGTGTTGAATGCATGAGCAAGCCAGCTCCTGAAAAAGACCCTGAAATCAATAGATGAAGAAAAACAGGCAGTGAAGCCAAAGTGAGATGGAGACCTTTGTTTACTTTTTGTTATTCTGCTGTTTTTGTTCTTTGTTGCTTTGAAAGGCATCAAATGGCGTTCAAGGCAGTTAAACACCTTTAAGGTTGGAGGGCTTGGCAATGTTTTGCCTGAAGCTTTAAGGAGACAGCGGTGGGATATCTTATTAGCATTTATTAAATTACTTTTCCTCAAAAAATGGAATTTAAATACAATTCCACAACAAAGATTGCCTTGATGTTTTGACACGTGGATCTTGTTCAAGGAATATTTTATCATGAATGCAAGACAAAACACTTGTGCTTGTAACAATTTCACCTTGAGTTAATGTCTAACCCAGTTTTGGGATCAATTTTACGACTCTGTTGCAATACCCGCATGTCGCAAAATACCCGATACTTTTCACACATTGGTATCTTTAACTTTAGATGTGAACTCTTCAGTTGACTTAGGGCTTAGCTGGAGGTCATAATTCGTGTAAATACAAATACACTTTTAGATAATTTCCAGGATTTCTAGTTCGAGTCGGAACTTCGGCTTTATGAATGAGACCTCAAGGTCTCTTGAAGATTATGAAATATTTTCAGTTCTGTGGGTTGTTGTGGCACGATTACCGGCGATTCTGCAAGAGAATAGCGCTAAAAAGAGTTCACAAAGTCAAATAAGTTAAATATTTGGTCAGCAAACTCTTTGTGGATAATTGGAATTAAAGATATACTAAACCAACATGAACTGGCTCGCAGCGTTTACGTATTCTCATTCATTGCGGGATGGCGGTGAAACTTGAAAGAAATGCGATCTGTGAACTAAGGGTAAATATTCAATGGTTTACCGGGGCGGGGCTTTTCTCTGTTTTTATTTTTGTTTGTATTTGTTAAAGTTTTGCAAAGGCAAATAGTTAAAATTAAACTCAACTCACGCACTGGCAAGATGGGGCATTTATTTTGTCACCTGCCTCGTGTAATTGAGAATAATACTCGTATTATTTAATAATCATACATAATCACTGGCAGCAGTCAGACTGCTCAGAATGGAGTAGAACTCTTTAGGGCTGGATTCGATTCCCAAGCGAATCTACGCTTTGGCCACACCAACGTGTCGTATGAGTAATAAAACCAAGCTTGGCTTCCAAGTGAGATACAAAAGTGCGACAAGTGCGAGAGTTGGGGGCTTTGTTTGGTTTTTATTTTTGTTTTTTTCTCGCTTTTTGTCTCAACAACGTCGACAGCGACTTCAACTTGAGCGTAGCAACTCAGCCGGAAAATGAAAAATATAAATTGGCCCCTCGTCTGAGAAACAGAATTATTTAACGTCCAACAACCGGGCCAAGTAGTTGTCTTGGTTTCCAAAGCTCTCCGGGAAGTTACTCCGCTGTATTCAGATTGTTTCGTTTTAAAAATAGTACAAATCATTCGGAATGTCCATCATCATCAAGCTATTTACTCTAATGGTGAGTGCTCTGAGCGATATCTAATTTGCGTAAACAGTCGAAAACAATGGCCCTTAAAATGGCATTTCAGTTGGCCGTAACAGGAGTCTGGAGTGCGGCCCTACCTGAAAACCAAGTGGCAACTGCGGCCAGGACGACCTCCGGGGATTTGGCCACCGCCGAAACTTCAGCCAAGTGTGAGTATGGGAAATTGGTTTTAAATATTTATGTGAAAAAGGTTTCAATAAGTGTTTCATATTTATTTTACTTGGATTGCTATCCAAATTCGTGATAAAAATTGTACTTCAAACATGACTTAACTCAGTGGTCTTGGGTAAAAATGGTATAACATTGGTCCTGAATAACTTTATATGGCTATTCTATAAGAACATCGTATACTTATTTCTTTGATTATTTAAAAAAAAAACCTTACTGATCAATATTTTCTTTCATATTTTTTGTTTTAGTGCTAAATCTTTTTGGAACTGGGTCTGGATCTGGTTACCCCAACTATGGCTATACCTACAATCGCCCGACAAACGGCTATTATCCTGGATATAACACGAACTACTATGGTTCATCATCCTCAGGCTTCTATCCTAGTACGGGTTATGGCTCTAGCACCTACTATCCCAACCAGGGGAACTATGGATACTCGAGTTACAACCCAACGCAGGGATATCCCCAATATTACAGCAATAGTTACCCCACCACGAATATTTTGGGATCCCAAGGAGGCGGATACGGTGGATATGGCGGTTACGGAGGTAATGGAGGTTTGAGGCAATATTCGGGCTATTGGCAGCGGGATTATCAGGGCCAACGGAATCGTGGTTATGGCTACTATGATGATACAGATCGTTTTGGCCTGCCCTTTTCCAGAGATCGTGGCTATGGCTCGAACTCGTATCGTGGCTATAACTAAGTATCTGCTTTTGTGTCTGTCCCTTGTTAATGCATTTTTGTTACCGCTTTTTCCTACTAATAAAAAAAAACACTACTATATCTTGACTGCTACTAATTTAATGTGTAAGTTGTCGCTTTTGCTTGAAGCTTAATTAATTTGCCTCTAGGTTACATTTCCATGAGGCATTCAAATTACAAATTGCGGACACGCCCAATTGCACACTCAAATTTGCCCATTTGTCATTCGTTCATATTCATGCTCTCAGTGCTGGTAAAAATGTGTTTTGTTTTCTGAACCTCAACCGAAGCCTACAAATTAATTGCATTTTTGCAGCTTCTACCCGAAAGTTGACTATACTTATTTTTCTTTGGCCGCATCGCGTTGCCAACTGTTTTTTCTGACCTTTTCATTTACAGGCTATGTGCGCACCACTTATGGCTAAAACCGCCAAGAACCTAACCAAAATGTTACACTCCAGCAGCACGCATCAAAATCAACACACAAAAAGATCGTAAAACTTATATAAGCCATTTATTAGGAACCACATCACACAACTCCAAAGGCGAAATAACCTCTGAGCCGACATATTTGGCGAGCCACTTAAACATTGCACCGCCGACGCCCAGAAAGTCAAGTCTCCTCAAGTTTTTGCGGGGGAACAATGTCTGTGCAACATCTTGACTACCAAGTCTTAAATTTTAAGTAAAGTAAAGCCATGTTTATGTTTTCCCCTTCGGCAGCTTCTGCAAGCTCGTAAATGCAGTGGAGCGAACTTTTCGCCGGAATTTTCTGGGGAAAAGTGCCCGGAGTCCCTCTGCCAGTTGAGCGTGTGTTGAGAGCAATTTGTGATAAGCTAATAGATTTCCCTTGTTAAATAAAGCAAAAATTCCAAACAAATTTATGTGGGGTCATGAGAAAATTAATTAAGCTGACGAAGAGGTGAAGATAAAATTTCAACAAAGAAGCAAAGGAAATTTCCTTACTGAAGATATATGGCTAAACAATGTTTTGGTTCGAAAGTAAAAAAAAACATTTCAAAAGAAAACAGAGGGTTAATTAAAATATTTGCAAATTTCTAATGAGAGAAATGATTTCCTTCTTCAAAGCAAAAATATATAATGCTTATAAAAGAAACCATCAAATGGAATTCCTATTTTTAATGGGTATGAAAAAAAAGACACTTAAAATTGAAACATAAACAAGCAGCAATGACAAAGGGCTTTGAAAAGAATCCCCTCACATGCTGAATTTTTCCATTCAAACAATCTATGATTTTTTAATCTATTTGTTCTTTCATTTGTCTCTTTTGGCTGGTTCCATTGAATGCGCTGCTTCCTTCCGTGCAGTCATAAAAATTAAAATACGAAAAAAAAGGAAGAGATACAAGATACAGATACATAACTTAATGTGTAAATACGAAGAATATAAGCATTTCATATGGGATTTTTTCTCAAATTTAACGCCAAATTGTTTGGAATAGGTACGGAGGCACAAAACAAAGTTCCCCAAGTCATTAAAGAACACAAGTTATGATCAAATGAAATTGAGAGAATACGATTTTGTTTGTATTCTCAGTTTGTTTTGTTCTTCATTTATTTAACACTGTTTATTATGGCAGTGCGCTGAGCTCCACATTAAAAGCAAATAGAAATAATTAAGCGGCGCAAACTACAATAAATAAAAATAAGGAAAACCGATAAAAATATCTGGCCACGCGGGGGCAATGAAAACATTTATTTGCCGTGCGGATTAAATGCCGCATCAGGCATTGAAATCTAATGTTAACAACATTTTAATTAACGAACAATGCCAGCAAATAATGCAAAAATTATTGCACATAATTGCTGGATATTGGATAAATGAGCACCGCGTCAGTTTGTTCAGGGCAAATATTTGACTGGCATATACATACCAATTTTTTCGCCAACGCAAAAAGAGGAAAACAAAAGAAAATTGCAGTTTCTGTAGACATTGCTTACACAATCGCCTCAATTCCCAAGCTAAATATTAAAGGGTGAGGGGAAAAACTAAAGGAAGTCCAAAGAATCTTTCAAGTGGAATCAAAAAGAAAGGGTCTAGTCCACTTATAGAAATTGTTTAGCTTAAAAATTTCATCCAGCAGTCAGCAGAAAATAGTCTTAACGAAGGGCGTGGGGTTTCATCACGTTCTTATCAGTCCCGGGGAAAGTCTTTCACTTTCCTTGCAGTGTGGGTTGCGGAAAATGGCGCAACTTTTATATGGCAGTTCATAACTTGCCACAGCTGCTGCGGCTGCTTGAAACCAAAACTAAGACCAAGTGTGGTAATTACTTGGCCAAACTTCCAGCACAAATAGCGTGCGAAGGTGGCAGAACTCCAAAGAAATAGTTCTTAAGGGACAAAGTTTTCTGCTTTGCCAAAAAAGATTTTCTATTCTCGAACTGGGTTCAATGAAAAAGTTAAATCAAGATCTTAATAAACACCTTTAAGTGCAATTAGCTGTTAATGGGATTTCATTGGAACTCATTTTCATGAACATCAAAAACTCTTGGCAGGTTGCAAATTAAATTGCCCAAAAATTTCATAGGCAGCTAACCTTTTAAACAAATTTTTGGTAAAAGAAAAAAGGGTTAAAGGTCGTTCTTTTAAATTTATTATAATCCCATATGTACTTAGGCTTCTCTTTTGCAACTGCAGAAAGGGTTGGCATCAATTTGTAAAAGAGAATTATTTAGCAACTTTGTTGGGCTGCATAAAATAGATATATGGCAAAGACCTTAAGCCCTTGAAAATTAATGGCATTTCAATGTCAAGAACAAAGAGAAATTTTGGGGTTTAAACAGCAACAAAATGGATACTTTTACTGCCGCCATATAAACTCGTGCTAATCAATAAGTATTTGCTTTTTTTATTGGGCGTTGCTTTGCTTTAAAATATCTATAGTATAGCCAAAAACTCGCTTTCATCAGATTTTTGTTTAGATCGTGGATTTTGGCTAATTTTTAAAGAACGTGCCCAATTTTTTCACCTAAAGCGAGTTCATTATATGGCATGCTTAACTATTTAGCACCTGAAAAAGGCGCCACGTGCTTCAGTTATTAAACCGAAAAAGGTGTAAGTCCAAAGATCACAAAAACACTGAAAACCAACATAGAACTCCCAGGGGAAAACGTTGGAAAACCCATTTAGCCTACTGATAACCCCGCAAAAAACAATCATATATCTGCAAAACACACAATCCCAAAACCCAGTCTCTAATGAGGATTTTAGCACGTGCCGTCGGAAGGAAGCCAGACTATAAATGATTCAAAATCATTATCATATCGTTTGTTTGTGTTTCCCATTAACAGAAAACAAGGGGAGTTAGAAGGAGAAGGGAGATCGATAAACAAGGTGCAAGCGAGAGGAAAAATAGCCACTGGCATCGATTTAAGCTATGTAATTTATTACACATAAATCAAAACAAATCGCTTGTTAACATTTGCCATTCGCAGCGATGTGGAATTTATGCATAAATGCATTTAATTATATGCGTAAAAAACGTGGCCTCAAAAAACGAAGAAAAAAATCAATGATTGGTGGATTTCATTGGCGATTTAATGGGGAATCCAAAATGGATAAACCTCAATTTTGGGGCATTTTCATTCACTCGATTTGAGGAAAAGAGGAGGCCATAAAAAGCACACTTCACAAGCCAAATAATCAAAAAGCAAAGCCAATGCCAGACAGGTAAATCAATCAATTTGTGTTGTGTACATAAAAAAATGAGAAAAATACTTTATATACTTATTTATATTGGATTTCAATGATACTTCGCGGATGCCAAAATGAAAATGTTTTAAAACATCGTCGGTGGGCAATTTGCAAGTATCTAAAGTTGGTAGATCAAGTAAAGTAAGTCAAATAAAGTCAGACTATAATTAAATTAATTTAAATAATTAACAGACTTTTGGCTAAGCGAGACCTGTTGCTTAAACTCTGTTTTGCGAGTCGAAGCAAATTTTTGTGGTGCCGATGATAATGCGAATTTAGCTAAATTAGTTTGTATTTAATTCAATTCGCACACGAGCTCTAATGGACGCCATTATGCCAGCGACTCGAAATCTGTTCAAATAACAATCTTAAGTATGTGTGGAACTTGGCGCGGGAACTTCGGATGTAATTTTTGTGTAGGAAAGGTAAACTACAAAATTTTAAATTAATTTTCAATGGTTAATGGGCGGGGAAGAATCTAGGAAAATATATTGATTGAATGGGATGTTTAAGCAACCTCGTGCCGAATTGCAAACCAATTTCTTGTAATTGAAAGGCAAGTAAAGTGACTACAAATGCAGTTGTGGACTGAAAGGTAAATAAACATTCTATGCAGTTCTATGCAAATTTACCTTTAAAGTAGTTGAAAGGTTTTTCCTGGCTTGGAAAAGCCTCATCAAATATTTAAGCACTGTTTAAACCAAAGAAAGGCACACATTTCCTTTGTGCATTTAACCTAAAATCCTATTAACCTTTGGCTTCCATTACTGGTGGCTCTTAGGATTTTCCCCATTCTCGTTTTCTGTCTGCAAAAATCATTGCCTTCTGGCCTTTCTGTTTTCTCTATGCGAAAATCACTGCTCGTTTGGGAGCCCAAAGGTGGGTCAATGATGGACATTGTCTTGCATGTGTCGGCCCTGATGAGTTTTTGTTCTCAAATTCAATTTGTTCAGCTTTAAGGGCATTTGGCTGCCCAGGAATGTGCTTGGGATATTTTCAGAACGAAATTTTCATGAACGTCAAAGAAAACAAACGGAAATGTTGGGAACACACTACATAACACAAATATTTAAAAAGTTATTTAAGGTAGAGAAATATTTGTATAGTATCAGAGCTATTGTTCCTTATGTAATTTATTGCCTTTTATATAAAGACCAAAATACAGATGTTTCAAATTATGTTTCAAGAAAACTAAAACCTTTTTTTAACCTGAGTTCTTAAATTCAATTAGTTTATCCTTAAGGATGTTTAAAAATATTTTTTTAAATATTCGTTTAGCATCAGAATTCTTTAATTTAAATTAAAGGGTAGTTGATGCCCAAAGTATTTGTACTTAAAGTTGTATTTATAGACAACCAAAACCACCTTTAACTTGCTCCCATAATCACTTTTGTAACCCAAATTTGGCTTAGTTGTAATGGTTTTGTCTGCCCCCAAACCCTATAAACAATTTAATCATTTAATGCCAAGTAGTTGGTTTAACATTGGCAAACAAGACTGTTTGTCTGGGAGCGATAAAATCAGAGGGCGGGGTAAACTCCACTAGAAAGCCACTTAATACAGTATTAAATGGTAATTACTAATTCAACAATACGCAGACATTGAAACTTTCACTTATCTGTATCAATTTTGCCGAGGGGGAGGCAATAAAATATTTTATTATTATTTTTTTGTTTTTTTTTTTGGGTGGGTGGCAGCTCTAATCAGTGAACAAATATTGCGAGTAAAACAGTCGAGACACGCCCAGACTCCCAGGTGAATTGGTGTTGGATTTTTTATTGATTTATGTTAACAGCACCGCGAAAACAAGGTAAATTGATTAAGATTTCTTGCCGGGCTGCACCTGAGTTTGAGTATTATTTTACTTTTGGTTTTTTTTTCTGGTCATACCTACTCTGACGTATGCGTAATTTCTTCGAGAGATAAAAATGAAATAAACTGGGGGCTGTGCCGGTGTGTGCGAGTGCGCCTGCCCCTCTTTTGTATCTGTGTGGGAATCAATAGAAGCCGGCACGCAAAGAAAAAAATTAACAGGCTGCCGAGTTCCCATTGCCATTCAGTTGGCTCCGGGAGCTTTTATCGTGCGGTTGTATCTCGCGATCTAAACTGTATCAAACAAATAATCAAAAATTCGCGCGAATCGCAGGCCAT